TCTCTCGGGTGTGACAGGAGTGGCTTAGCAGCCTTCCCCTCCCGGGGCCGCGTGAAATGCTATTGTTATTAGCGGGGCAGTATTTCACCGCGGCCGCCCGACCCGGCCCCGCCCCGCACCGCCCCGCCCGGCCAAAGCCCGTCCGCTCGCATAAAACACCTATTATTACTATTATCGTCATTATCATCTTCATTATGATGATGACGGTGGCGCTAACAAAGTTTCTTTATTAATACTCTGCGGGCGCAGTGGGGGCGTGGTGGGGAGGCGTGGCGTGGCGTTGCGCGGCCATACACCTGTCGGCGTCACGACGTAACGCACGAGGTGGTCGAAGCAAGCCCCTCTGCTCCTGTGTACTCGGTCACAGCGTTCGATCGGACTAGCGCCGGGCTCGCTCACTGCCAGTGAAAACACGCGCCACACACACTCACTCACTCACTCACTCACTCACTCACTCACTCACTCACTCACTCACTCACTCACTCACTAGAAAACACTCCCACGCATTCGCAATTTGACGTTCCTGGTGCATTGAAAGTCCCCTGAAACCGAAACGCAAATTCAAAAGAAAATGTTTTTCAGTCTTTTAAAATTCCCGCCAATTTTTTGAAAAATTGGTTAGGCTGAAAATGTGTTTTTCTTTTCTTTTACGTGCATGCGGTGGCCACGCGCGCGCGCTGAGGAGGTGGCTGTTGTGGGGACGCGCCGCTGCGGCTGCCGCTGGTTAGCATAATGGCGCGAGCAGGGCCGGCTAAACGCTGCTGCCAGAGGTCTATTAGAGCCAGCGCCACGGCAGCGGCACAGCAGCGGCACAGCAGCGGCACAGCATCCTAGCCGTCCGGATTAACTCGGCTGTCATTCCGAGTGTCGCCGCTGCTGCCCCCGCTGCCCCCGCCGCTGCTGACGCTGCCGCTGCGGTCGGGGGATGCGATGGAGAGATTAAGTCGTGACGCTTTGATGAGTGCTGCGGATCCCCCCGACCCAGCTGAGGGCGTAGCGGGGCGGGGAGGGGCACCTGGGGCCTGCTGGGCCAGAGGGCTGCTGCACCAGCACCACCCCACCCGGTGAGCTCGGCGGCTCGGCCTGCTTGGCCTGCTCCGCGCGCGCGCCTTCTCCGCCGCGGCCGCACGACTTTGAGTTTATGATATTATCCTCCCTCTTCTCCTTCTTCCTCCCCTTCTCCTCCTCCCACTCCTCCTCCTCCGCGGTACGCCACGCCACGCTCTTTCCGCAGGAATAACAATAGAGCAGCGGGAAACTCGTGAACGTGAGTGAGTGAGCACGAAGAGCAGAGCGGGGGCGGCGAGCGGCGCGGGGCGAGCGAGAGAGAGGGAGGGAGACAGAGTTTGAGAGAAGGGCGGAGACACGGGCGCGTGGGAGAGAGACAACGCGTTCCCTTTGAAGTGACGAATGTTAAGACTTGCGCCGCCCCGGCCGCCGTCTCTGGCTGGAAGTTAGGACGATGGTGGTGGCGGCGGCGAGGGCGAGGGCGGCTCGGGGTCCGCCGCATTGCACTCCTCACCCTCCGGACAGTGGAGTTATGATCCGGAGGAAGAGAAAGGGGCAGGACAGGAGAGGTTTGGAGGGTGGGCGGCGCGGGCTGGTCCGATGCTATCCACGCGATTTCAATCGAAAACGGCCCCGTAAACACGGCACTTGGAGCCGTAAAACGGTCGTCGTCCGGAATGGAAATTAACGTTTTATGTGCCGAGTTTCTTATTCGCGCCCGCTGCTCCGCTCCACGAGAGGGAATGGCCCGTCCCATACCGCCGTCGCTCGCCGTTCGTTCGTCGCTGGCGAGGACGCCCTTGACGACCAGCACGGCCACGACCCGGAGTACCGCTGGCCTTCACCCCCGCGCGATGCTGCCGAGCATTTTTCCTCGTCGGAATCATTTTTTCGCCTTTTTTTTTTTGTATTTTCATATTCTATTTTATTTTGGGGGGATTCACTCTTTACAGTTCGCGAGCGCACGTGACTTGATAAGTATTTTGTCAGCCGTCTCTCTCTGTATGGTAATGTGGCGTGCGACCGACGTGGCACAGAGGGGGAGCAGAGAGAGAGAGGGAGTGAGAGAGAGAGAGAGAGAGAGAGAGAGAGAGCGCAAGTCACTCGGGGGAAGAAGAGGGATGGGAGGCGGAGGGGAGGTTGCATCTCTGCATTCAGTGATATCAGCAGCGTCTCTTGGGGATGGCATGGCAAGGTCAGCATGCGCGCAACTGTGTCCCCCACTCACTCCCCCGTTGCCGCTTCCTTACTCTTGATCTCCACACCGCCGCCCCCTTCCCGTAGCGACCCTAAGGTGAGGACGAAAGGACTGACCGGCGCCCTCTTGGATTGGCCGACAAAAAGTCGCGTGGTGCTCCGCACGCGCTTGTTGTTGTGTGGCTCATTCTCTCTTTTTTTTTTTTGTTCCTTTCACTATCTCTTCTTTTTCTCTCCCTCGCCATCATTCTCCGCCACCCCTGTGGCCCCGCCGCTGCTGCGCCCCGCCGGCGCTCCCCGCTCGGACGATCGCTGCCTTTAAATGAGACGGACTGCCGGCAGACTGCCTGCTCCGCGCGCGCTCGCCCCGGCCGCCCCCCCCCGCTTCCCTCGCGGGTCGGCCTTGAATCGGCTTCGCGACGGCTGAACCCCTTGTCCTCTGCAGGGCCCGAGTGAGTGAGCGGCGGCGGCGGCGCGC